TGTATGGTGGTGCTCCAGAGGGCCCTCAGTTAAAAGAACTGGATCATGGAGCGAATGTTGTGGATCGATAAGGTTGATAGAATGCTCGATGAGGCTTCCCACCCGACCTCTGCGCGAAGAGGAGTTTGATTGCATCGCCGCCTCTCTAGGATCTGTAGTTTTGTTTTGTACGGTGAAGGGGCGATCTGTAGTTTTGCTTCCCACCCAGACCTCTGTGCAAAGGGGCGATGAAGCTATGAGCGGCGGATGGGCAATCTGTAGTTCTGATGATTTTTCTTTTTTGTTGTTGTTGTTGTTGGATGGGTGTTGGTGGTAGTGTTGGTGTGGTGGTCCGGTGGTTTTAGTGGTGTTGGGTGGTGGTGGTGGTAATGTTGACGGTTTGGTGTAGTTATGGTCGTGAAAACGTTGGCTACAATATTTGAAACAGTGATTTTGTTGCTAGGAAGTGGTGGTGTTGGTGTTGGTGTTGGCGACGGTGGTGTGTTTCTGTGGAGTTGTGGTGTTGGTGGCGGAGGCGACGGTGATGTTGTGTTGGTGGTGGTCACAAATCATTTGTTGATTGTGACCAATAAATTGGTTGGTGTGTGACCAATAAAGAATAAATTGTGAACAATAATTACTGTGTGACCTATAAATTTATTAATTTGTGACCTATAATTTGATATTTTGTGACCATAACATAAATTGTGTGACTTATAAATTTTATGATTTGTGACCAATGAATAAATTGTGACTTTTAAATGTTTAATTTGTGACCGTTGAACGAACTGTAACATATAAATGTTTTGATTTGTGATTTTAAAATTTTTGAATTGTGATCAAATTGCATAAATCTGTGACCGTTATATATTTATTAATAAAACATATAATTAATTAATTAATTCATAAATAAATTTAAATAAAAATCTGATTTTTGAAATTTAAAACCTCCATCATTAATTTTGAAATGGTGATACTTAAAAATCTGATTTATGTATTGTTCCCTTAAATTTATTTAATTTTTTAAGGTCTTTCAGATCTTGAGGTCCAAAGCAATGACCTCATTTGCCTTGGGCCTGGGCCAAGGCCGGGCCTGATCCCACTTAAAAATCAATCAAATACCATTGTTGAAGAAACAGTTTTATCTGAGCATAATCAGGCGAGAATATGGGTACCAAGATATAAGAATTTGAGGAAGAAAAGAGCGAAGTTGTATATAATTCGCCAATGCATCTACATGCTGCTTTGTTGGAGGGAAAATGCAGATTAGATTTTCTGATTTATGGCAACAATGCGTGGCTCTCATCAGATGTGTTCTTTGTACATTTAGTTTTTAGTCAAAATCGTGAAGTGTCGTATATAAATAGAAAAAGATAGAAAAAAGAGTTTTTGATCAATCTTTTGTACAACTCCGCATGGGTTTCTTCATTACTAATCTTGTCACAACTAGAAGAGACAATTCCGCTATAAGGCAAATATTTTCATCTATAACTCTCATCAGCGTCGATTCTGAGAATTTTGAAGCCCTTAACATAATTTTTTTACATACGTAAATAAATAAATAACATATTTATATTTTCAACTAAAAATTTGTATAATCCAAAAGATAAAGTAGCAAAATAAATTATCTCTGACAACTCGAGGAATTATGGTAGCATAATATCTAGCAAAATTGTCCTGTTGGTGGATAAAATATTATCAAAATGTAAATAAAAGTTTCCAGAAAGTGAAACTAAGTTCCGATGTCAATAATATACTTGGATCAGATGTGTATTTATTAGAGGATTTAGAATTATCCTATCAATATTGGGCTCATTTTGGAAGTCGTATTAAATGGCATATTACGGACTCGTTGAAAAAATAATTTCAAGTTTGAGTTATAAGACATTAAAATAAACTACTGGATGGGTAATAATAATTTCCAAATTAGACCATATAATCATAACAACATTGAGCTCATTTGGTAGTTCGCAATTAATCATGTATATTAAGTTTGAGAAAAAAATATTTTAGATAAGTGGACCTAAGTTAAAATCGATTAAAGAAGATTATTTTTTAGAAATTAATTCATTTGGTTGAGTAATTATTAGTAATTAGTAATTCAATTGGGCCTTGTGCTTTTAGGCACCAAAAGGTTCGAGGCCATAGGCCATTGCTTAGTTGGTTTTGGCTTAGGGCCGACCCCGACTCTCATTACAATAATCTATACCATGCTCAGGGCAGCATGATCACCTCTAGTCAAGTCAAAGAAACAAAAATAATCTTAACTAGTCTAATTGACTGAGACTTGAAGAAGAAGAAATTTCTCATGTCAAATTTCTTGTGCTTGCGCCTTGCTCTTTACGCTGTCACATTCACTCTCCACTTCAAAGTTTAAGTACAAATACATAGCCAAACTCAAAAAATAGTTCATTCCGATGAAACTCTCGTCGATGCATATATACTTGTATTGTATAAAAGTCGTGCAAGAGACTTCTATTTAGTTCTAGTCGTAGCCCATTCGTGAAAAATTGCTTTTCCAGGTTATCAGTGTACAAAATTCCAACAACTGAATTTAAGGAATGAACTATAGAAAATAAAATAGTGATAAATCAAATAGAGTGACTAAACAGACTCTAAACACATGGAGATTATAGCTTAAGTTATTATTATTTTACTTTGTAGCAATGCTAAAAGTAAAACACACACACAAAAGTACATGTTTAGCTGTCTAAAAATACATAGATTTTGAAATATGTTTGAATAATTTAATTTTATTAACTTTAAAAAGTATTGCTTTCAAGAGTACATTGCTTACAATAAAAAAGAATGACTTATTTATTTAATTTAAAAACATTTAGCATGCTTTAGACTACGTAAATTAAATGTAAATGATTAGAAGTTGTGAATCCTACTTAATGGGAGGATAATTAGTTGTGAGTATTATGAAAAAATGCGTACGAAAAACATGTTTGATTAGCTGAAATTATAATTTTTAAGCTTTACCGAACATGCACTAAGGTGAACCAAAATGATATCAAACAATAATGAATTGATATAATTACTGCTAAAATCATGCGCATCTAGTGTAGTGGTATCATAGTACCCTCCCACGGTACTGACCGGGGTTCGATTCCCCGGATGCGCAATGCATTCTCAATTATAATTGTATTTTCTCAGTTTTTAGTTTCAAAAATTTTACTTTCATTTGTGTCCTTTCAAAATTTTCATATGTACTTTTCCCTCACATTATAATTATCAAATATTTTTATATATCCCTTTTTTACTTTTAATATTTCAATAATTTTTTGCTTTTCACTTCTTCAATAGATGTCCAGCCAATTATAGGGATGATAAAAATTCCTTGTTATCGACCTGCCCGAAATTGTCCCATCCCGAATTGAGCTAGAAAACCTCCTTAATAGTAAGTAAACGAGGTGGGTATCGAGGACATATTCACCGTTTCAAAATGTTCGAACCTGTCTTGAATTATTTTTAGTTTTTATTTTTATAATGTTTTGCATTTGAAATTGTACTTAAAATAAAATATATATTAAAAACCATTAATTAATTAAACCAGATTGTAAATAAGATTTTATTTTATTTTTAGAGCTTGTTTGTGAGTGATTTTAATCCAATTAAAATTGAAAATATAATCGTTATTGGGTTCCACCCGTCTAATAAAAGTCAACAATAACGGCTATATTTTCAATTTTAATCCCTCCCAAACAAGCTCTTAATTCCTGGCCGGTCGTGCCCAAATCAGTTGATTACTAATGTCCAAGTAATGACACTAAAGGATGACAAAAATTATTTGTAGCATTCTTTTGTAAGTTTACTTGCGTAGCATTCTTTTGTAAGCTAACCACAACTTGTC